AGTAGTAAAACAAAGACATATATTTTTTATACTTATTTTATATATTTAAATGCCATTTAACAAAGAAAAATCAACCAAAAAAATGAGTTCGTGTGTCACCTCTGACACACGTGTCACCGGTTTGCCATCACTGAACTAGGATCTCTCTGGGCCGTCACTAAGTCAGAGCCAGAGTGACACAGCCAGAGTGGGGGGAGCCAGAGCTGCAGCTCCGTCCAGCTCACCTGTCCCCTCAACATTCCCCTCTCATGGGCTAGGAGTGTATTTATATCCACCCATTTTCCAAATGTGGCAACTGAGACCCAGAAAGGGAAAAGGACAGGGTCAGTCAAGAAAACTAATGGCCCAGCCAGCTTTAAGATACACTGGGAAGCATGAATCTTGCTCCTGAACACCCCAAATGTGTCCTGTCTTACCTTCTCTCACTCTGTTGCTTCCCTGGATTGCCCATCTCTCACAGCTTCTCTGGCCATCAAAACCCAGCTCAGATGGCACCTTATCATTAGCCAGAAGCGTCTGTGCCTGCCCTGGCCTCCAGGCACTTTATCCTCATTCTCCTGGCCCTCGTCACACTTGTCTTCATGCCCCCCCACCCCCCGCAGGAGCTTCTCAAGGGCAGGATCCACGTCCAATTATTTGTGCCTTTGACAAATATTCCTGCTAGACAGTGTGTGGGGGGTAAGAGATGAATAACAACAGTGGTCCTACCATTTATTAAGCACTTACTATGTGCCTAGCATTGTGCTAGGAGTCTCCACACATTGCCTCACCAAACTGACTGCTCAGCAATCCTTTGAGGGTATTCATATTATCCCCATTATGAAAACAGAGTCTCAGAGAGATGAAGTAACTTGCCCAAGTTCTCATAGCTAATAGATAATGGGGCTAAGATTTAAACTCATTTTGTTACGATTGATCGGAAAGCTCTGCTCTTGTGGCCTGCCAGCCCGCCTTCATGTGGGAACCCTGCTGCCCCTGAGGTGGGTGGAGTGGACCCTGGGAGACCTTGTAGAACGCACCCAGAGAACTCTCTGGGGCCATCCTCGAGCCTCGAGGCCCTCCTAGAACCCCAGGCCTGGGAGGAAGGCTATAACATTTCCATCGCACCAGACTTCCCCCTTCCACCTCCTGCAGTGATTTATCTCAGGGCTTCAGCCAGCTGCCTGGGCAGGAAGGAGCACACTGGTGGGGAGGGGGGCCCTGGGCCCTGGTGAGAGGCCTGCGGCTCCCTCTGGGTCCTGGGGAGGTCCTGCCCGCGGTCAGCCTGGGCCTTGCAGAGGAGAGAAGACTTGGCATCTTCTCTTACTGTCCTGTGGTCCGAACGCTTTCTCAGGGGGTGACCTCACTTAGCTCTCACCAACATCTCTGAGGGCTGGGGAGGGGCCCTCAGGGCCAATGGAATCCCATCTCAGGGCCAGGGTTGACTCCTCAGAACTAGACACTTGGATCTCTGCTCAGATTCCTTTCTACAAACACTAACCCTAAAGAAATGAGACCAGCTGGCGTGGAGCTGAGACACAAACACCCTTTCTTTCCAGCTCTCTCTCCATGCACAGCTTCTGGGGCCTTGCTGTCTGGGGTCCCTAAGACCCTAGCTCAGGCACCCTCCCTCCTCTGTGCATGGCACTGCCAGTCCTACAAACCACAGCCCTGGCTATCTGCATTCCCCAAGTCCCGCAGAGCCCGGACCTGATACACACAGATCTGCCATCTCTGATTAAGAAAGCACATGTATTTGGGGGCTGTTGCATGCTGCCAGTGTGGTACACACATGTATGCATGCGCTGATCTCCTGGCAGCACCCCCTTTCATTTCCTGGGTCAGAGTCTGTTGCTAAAAGTGCGTCCCTGTTCCCCAGGGAGAACGTCAGGGATGTATGCGGCCCGAGTGGTGCTGACTCTGCTCTTTGGAGGGTGTCTGGGGAAGCTGGGCCACATGCTACCCTGTTCTGGGCAGGGCTGGCGATGGGCCCCAGCAGGAGCGGGGACTGGCCCTGCCCCAAAACTCGGTCAGGAGGACCCTGAGGGGAGGTGGTCCCCTAGTGAGCTTGGCTGCTCCTCCTCCCTAATGGGGAGGTGTGTCTTTGCAGCCTGGCCTGGGAGGTGGGGGCAGGAGTAACCAGGGCCTGTGACCTGCAGGGACGCCTAGGCTATCTGGGAGAGCGGCGGCAGCCACTCCAAGGCCCTCTGCAGCTGACTCACTGGCTCTCACACACACATTGCACTCTGCTGCCACCCATCCAAACATAAAGGCTCAGATACACAAGCTCGCCTTTGTCACACACACTCTCACATCCATAAATATGTGTGCACACGCACACACAAATATGCATTTTCATATGCATACGCACACTGAGGTACATATCTTATATATACACTAGGGGCCCAGTGCACGAATTTGTGCACCTTGAAAGGAACTGTGGGCCGAGAGGCTGTGGTGGGCACAGGGGCGGGTCTTGGTCCATCTTCCACCTCCCCGCCTGGCCCCTCCCGCCAGAGCCCCCAGTCCCCTGTCTCCCAGAAGCCCTGGTCCCGCAGCAGCTGCTCCCACACGCTGATGGCTCTGGCCCTGCTCACACCCGCTGATGGTGAGGAGCAATTGGGATTGCCCCTCAGGAGCAGGGGGAGGTGGAGAAGCCCTCAAGGGCCATTGGGGCCAGCAGCCACTGCTCGCACCCGCTGACGGCGCCGAGCTATCGGGACCGGCACTGGGCACTGGCAGCAGGTGCGAGCGGTGGCTCCGACGCCAGCCGTGGGTGCGAGCGGGGCCAGAGCCGGCAGCAAGTGCAAGCGCCTGGCGGGACCACGGCGTGCAGGAGCAAAGAATTTTCAGTAACCACCAGAGGTACACCCTGATGACAGCGACTGGTACCCTGCCTTGGTCTGGCGCCTCTGCTCACCTGCTCTACCATCCCACCGTGGCCAACTCCCGCCATGTTCCATGCATGCCCCCTGGTGGTCAGTGCATGTCATAGTGACCGGCTGTTCGGTTGTTCTGCCATTTGGTCTATTTGCATATTAGGGTTTTATATATATAGATATAGTATTGATTTCAGAGAGTAAGAGAGAGGGAGAGATAGAAACATTAATTATGAGAATCATTGATTGGCTGCCTCCTGCACTCCATCTACTAGGGATGGAGCCAGCAACATAGGCATGTGCAACGGGACAGGGAATCGGACCATGACCTCCTGGTTCGTGACTTCCTGGTTCATAGATTGACATTCAACCCCTGAACCACACTGGCCAGGGATACACATCTTAATAATTGTCACTGTTTATTGAGTTTTCACTGTGTGCCAGGCCCAATATAAGCTGTGACATAGATTCTCTTTTGTCAATCTCACAACCACCACATGGATCCCATTTTACCAGTGAAGACACTGAGGCTCAGAGAGGTGAGGTATCTTACTCAAGGTCACTCGGCAGCAAAGTGAAGTCAGAATCAGAATCCAGGTCTAGTTGCAAAGTTAAGGATTACATCATACACAGGAGTGCACACAGGCACACACATAGACACTCTGCCAGGCTGGGGAGGGGCATTGTGGAGCCGCCCCTCCCACCAGGGGAGAGAACACGGGCTGCAGGCCCCCTTGCAGGCCTCACAGGGCTGACCAGAGGACCTCCGGGCTCTGGATGCTGCTCCGAGAAGAGGCGTTTGGGGTTTGGATTTAGATTCAGCTCTGCCAGCTTTATCACTTCCTGTGTGGCCTTGGAGACAGTGTCTCCCCTCTCGGAGCCTGAGTATCTCCACCTACGAAATAAGGATTATGGTATCTACCCTCCCAAGTTGGAGGTGAAGTTAAAATAAGATACCACAGCTGCCTGGCACATATCAGGCACTGAATAACTCTAGCAAACAACACATAATTTACATGTGCATAATTACATAATGATAAAATGACAGTAATTACATGCATAATTTATACCTCACAATGACTCTATGAGGTGTGGGTACTGTCATTTAACGGATGAGGAAACTGAGATCTAGAGAAATTAACCGACCTGCCTGAGGTGAGCGGGGAAGCCAGCATTTGGAGCCAGGCAGGAGAGAGGGACGGCACCTGCCCGCTGCCCGCTCTGCCCTGGCTGGCATGGCCTGTCTGCCAGCGGCTCCACTACAGAAAGCCCTCCAGGGAGGGTGAGCATTGGAGGGAGGAGGAGAGGAAGGCTCATGTGGGGTAATGAGAACAAAAGACGGCTGGTGGCTTTCTTTGTACCTTGAATTTCTCTGCAAGGGCAGGAAGCACCGATTATTCTGGAAACCTGCCCACTGAGATCACAAGCTGGAGAGCAGTCTCGCTTGTGAAGAGGGACGGAGTGGGGACAGCTTCCCCTTTCCTCTGGGCAGAGGTAGGGCCATCTGGGGGGGAGACCCCTTAGGGAGTGCCCTGAAGATCTCAGTGTGAATCCCACCTCCACCACCTACCAAGGTGACCTTCCCTCTCTGAGCCTCAGTTTCCTCTTTTGCATATTGGAGTTAATGACGCTCTGCCTGTGGGCTGTAAATGAAATAATGATGCAGGCAGCTTGCCCCAGTGCCCGCTGTCTGTAGCAGCTCAATAAACGGAAGCTGTTTTATTTATTATCCAGGAACCAAGTGTCCCCTCTACGAACCCATCCCTTCCCACCTGCCCCCTGCCCCCAAGGAGGTCATCATAGGAGAGGTCATCATGATGCATATGAGGAAACTGAGGCACAGGGAGAGGAAGAAGCTGGCCTAAGGCCATCTCCATTCTGCACCTTCCTCTTCTCTCTAAATCCCTCAAAAAGCCCCAGGACAGGGACTGTGAGGTATTGTCCTTGCCTACTTTGTCCGGTGCAGAAACTAAGCACACAAGGAGGAATGGTTTACCCGAGGCCTCTCGGCTAACACACTTGAACCTGTGCCTCCGGGCTGTGAACCCCTGGGAGGTTTTAAGCGAAAGCGCCTGGAAAGGCAGGTCCTTGCTTATTATTATGTAACTAAAAGCATGGGGATTAGGTGGTTAGGACATCAGCCCAGCATTGGGTCCCAGCTGCTTCACTTGCCGTGTGATCCCCTCGGGTGACGTTACTGTCCTGTGCCTTGTTTTCCTCATCTGTAAAAGGGGCAGGTGGCAGGGTTACCCGAGGCCCTGCCTCTGCACTCCTCCAGAGAGGAAGGGAGAGGGAGAGAGAAAGAAACATCCATGATGAGAGAGAATCATTGATCGGCTGCCTCCTGCACACCCCCTACTGGGGATCGAGCCCACACTCCAGGCATGTGCCCTTCCCCGGAATCGAACCTGGGACCCTTCAGTCCACAGGCCGATGCTCTCTCCACTGAGCCAAATCAGCTAGGGCTGCACTCTTCCTCCTTGAAAGCACCCAGTGTGTGCAGAGTTCTTTGACAGCCTTGTCTGGCGAGGTGGCAGCGTGCTAGTATGCCTCATTTACTTTATCTAAGGTGTTCTTGAGAGGTGCATGGCTCACCGGTGAGGAAATCTTTGTTCCAAAAGCCCCTGCTTCTCTTACTCCTAACCTCAGCTTCCCCAGGGTCTGGCTCCAGGTGTGTGGTTGCATCAGAGCTGCCTGCCCGTCAGGTGTGGGTTCCATGAAACTCCAAGAGGGGGCCATTGTGTGTCCTTGGGCAGCATTGGCAGTGAGGGGAGAGAAAAAGGGCCTGCTTTTCATCTGCCCCTGTTCAGACCCTCCCTCCACATGCAGGGCCAGACTGTGAGCAATCGGGTTGCCTTCAGCCACAGGGTGGAAATGGAGTGTCTGTGAGTCTTTATTGTCCGTGACAGCATTACCGATATCACCTATAATTTAGCAAAGCACGTATGCCATGTTTTGGCCACCAAGACAGCTTTGCTACTGTCCTGCTCAAGCCCAGTCTTAAAGGGACAAAGACTATTGCAAGTCAGATAGGCCTGGGTTCAAATGACCTTCAGCAAGTCACTTCTCAACCTCAGTGTCTTCATCAGCAAAATGGGTTTATTACTAGTACAGACCCCCAGGGGGGAGTAACTGAGATTATGTGGCAAAAGCTCTTAGGACAGTGCCTGGCACAGAGTAGGTGTTCCCCTACTAAGCAGTGGAGTTACCCTCAGTAGAGGAGCCAGCCAGAGGGAGAGGGTCTCACTCCCAAAGCCTTCTTTCCCCCTAATGGTTAGTTAGCCAGGGGGCTGGGAGCTCCTAGAGCCACTCTCTACCCAGTGGCTCCCAGTGGCCGGTTAGCCCGCCAGCCTCAGAGCATCACCCTGGGATGTGGGGGTGACGATGGCTACTTCTGTCTTTCCAGTGGTTCCAACAGGAGCTGGGGCTGGAGCATGACGGGGAGCAGCAGCATCCTGGCAGAGTTTGGATCCCTGCACTTGGAGTTCTTACACCTCACTGAGCTCTCCGGCAACCAGGTCTTCGCTGAAAAGGCAAGTCTTCTCCCTGCTCCCTCCCCAAACAGCCCCTCCGCCTTCTCCCCACAGAGAGCAGAAGAGTGGGCATTCAGCCCTGCACAGCCACAGGTTAGGGTCCCAGATGGATAGGGTGGTGTATGGGGAACACAGAGCCCCCTAAGTTACTGTGGGAGACATGATTGTACCCAATCCCAGGTGGCAGGGAAGACGAGCACGGGGAGTAGTCGGGACCCTACAGAGGGCAGGGAAGAGACAAAGCTGCCGGCGTGTGTCAGCTTCTGGCAACCACGCATACGCGGGTCTGGGTCTGCAGAAAGCGCAGCGGCTGGAACCTAGGCACCAGCTCGAGTTGGCAGGAATGGGCCACCGGCTGCTAAAGCCGCCTTTCCAGAGACATTTAACTTTTTCCTGTGAGATCTGCCTGGCCTTTCCTTCCAGATGCCCGTCTAGCTCATGCCATCAGCAGGCTGGCACAGCAATTTCCACTTCCGGGACAGGCACATGGCCGCTCCTTCTCACTGGTACCAGGCTGGCTAAGGCCTCGGGGAAGCTGAGAGAAGGCGTCCAGGCTGCCATCCATTCTGACAGCGGCCGGTCCTCTGGGAGGCCCTCCAGAAGGGGCAGTTTCTCCCAGCCTTGGCAGTCCCACTGTCTGGAAGTGTCACTGTGGGTCTAACCCTAAACCCCCAGATGACACTCGGGCTCCATGGCAGGGAGGTGAAGCCCTGCCCTCCAAGAAGAACCCTCAGGAGGGCCCCACTCCCAAAGCCTTCTTTCCCCCTAATGGTTAGTTAGCCAGGGGGCTGGGAGCTCCTAGAGCCACTCTCTACCCAGTGGCTCCCAGTGGCCGGTTAGCCTGCCAGCCTCAGAGCATCACCCAGCAGGCCCTGGCCCTGGGATCTGCATTTTTAACAAGCACTCATGTACTTTTTGACACGGGGTTTAGGAGCACTGCTTATTCAGTGTGGGAATCCACCCGCCTTCTTGAGAAAATGCTTAAGAAGAGCAATTCAAATCTTTGACCATTTCCTCTGTATTGGGGCTCACTACCACCCTTAAATAGCCCATCACGTTGTCAGACCTTGTATGGAGAGGACTCTGCCTCCCCGTGACACTCCACCTCAAAAGGTCATGCAGTTACTTTAATCCACTTCCCAATGAATCTTACTGGCTGATCCTTTTTCCCACCTCCATGTCCTCCCTCCCCCCAGCCTCCCAGTTGCCATTGCTCCTGAGCCAACTCCGCCAGGAAGATTGTGGCCGGCTCAGGATGGAGCAGGACCAGCAGCTCCCTCTAGTCCCTGGCTAGTCAGGAGTTAATTAGCTACTACTGCCTGAGCACCTACTGTGTGCTGGGCACTTAGAGTGTCTCTAACCCTCCCAACAGCCCTAGGAGCCAGGTCTTCCTGTCATCCTCATTTTACAGGGAAGGAAGCTGAGACTCAGAGGTTAAGGCACTTGTCCTGGATCATCCATCTGGGAAGTGCTAAAGCCAGGATTCAAATCCAGGACTTCCTGTCTCTGAAGCCCACGCTCGTTCAAGAGCAGATTAATACGACAGGCTTCAGGCTTTTCCTCCAGGGTCCGCGCTCCGTTTCTCTGTCTCCCTCTACATTTACATTCCCCAGCCATGCCTCCCACAGAGGCGATTATTGGCAGTCAACAAATTGGCCCAAATTCTAGAAGCGCCCGCACCCTCTGGGGGAGCTCATTTAGCCTGCTCCACTGCTTTCCACCAGGACAGCCGCGAATAAGTCAGGTACAAGCACATTCCTGTCCCCGTAATGGACTGCATTAACATAAATGGATGTGAGATCTGATGTGGCAGAGCAATGCCGTCCCCTGAAAAGAAAGGGCTGACAGTCAAAGGCTGCTTTCCCTGCTCCTTGCCCTGTAGGTGAGTCTGTGAGCATGACGCAGTAGGTCCCCGCGGGCCTTTCTCCCGCAGGTCTGCACTGGGAGGGTTCATGTATCCCTGAGGGATCAGGCCTTCCCACTTTTATAGCCCAAAGCCCCCTTGCCCTTGGTATGCCCAAAGGTTGCAAATCTAGCTTCCTCTTGCTCAGGTCAGGCAGCCTCCGCTACAGGTCGCTGCATGGTCCCCGCCTGGTCCGTGTTGGACCCAGGGGCTGCGCCGTTTGGTCAGAAATTGTCCTGGCCCTGCCACTTACCTAGTGGGTAGCCATGGGCAATCACTGACTCTCTCTAAGATTCGGGTGTCTCGTTTGTTAAACTGAGCTAGTGATACCACATAGGTTGTTCCAATGATTGGAGATGATGTATGTAACAGTATGGCTCAGAGGAACTGAGAAATGTTGTCATTAAAACCCGAGGTGCCGCCCCAACCGGTTTGGCTCAGTGGATAGAGCGTCTGCCTGCGGACTCAAGGGTCCCAGGTTCGATTCCGGTCAAGGGCATGTACCTTGGTTGCGGGCACATCCCCAGTAGGAGGTGTGCAAGAGGCAGCTGATTGATGTTTCTCTCTCATGGATGTTTCTAACTCTCTATCCCTCTCCCTTCCTCTCTGTAAAAAAAAAAACAAAAAAAACCTGAGGTGCCTATGGTGTATTGAGCCCAGGCCTCCCCTCTGGAATGGTTCCTGTGGTGTCAGAAAAAAGAACATATTACCAGGTTAACCATATGAAATTGCCAATGTTTGACCATTTCTGACCTATTAAAAAGGCATTTTTACCTGGTACTTAGAAAACAGCTACCATCCCTTATGTGAATCCTCCCTCCTATGAAGACCCTCCCCGCCAAAAGCAACATGCAATGAGGAAGGGGTGAGA